TCTGTTGCCTTTTAATATTCGAACTGTCTAAGCATCTGCTCGGTTTTTAGCCTCGTCGGAAAAAAGAAATTTAAAAAATTATGCTCAACACTAACTTGAACAACCCTCAATTATTCCAATATCCCCAACAAAATTACACTTGTGATAAGTGTGGTGGGGATTTCCAACGAACTATTACTTATTCTCCTGCCTCGGATAAACAGGAATTAGGTCAGCATCCTACTTATTGTTCTAAATGTGTAGAGCCTAGTTTACTAGTCCCAGTAGTTAAGAAAAAAGCCAAAATCAAACCCAAAAAAAACACCGTGGCTTATTATCAATGCATGTCGGCTTGTTGTCAAGAAGGAATTAGCCCCAAAAAGATTACTCAAATTGCTCATGAATGTAAACAGAATAGTTTCGGTATTCTCAGCCAAAGAACCCAAGAGATTCAAAAGTTAAACCAGGCCTATCAGCAAATTGGGATTTGCTTGACTAATTTGTTGCAACCGATTAAGGAAGAATAAAATGGACTGCACTTACTGATTTTATTTGTGTTTAGCCCTTTGTGGAGTAATTCTCGCTATGTTAGCCATGTTTTTTAACTATTCCTTAAAACTAGACTGACGCACGGCTAAACTAGAAAAAAAGAATGGTAAAGAACAAAAGCAGATTGACGAGTTAAAAAAAGAAGTGGAGCAATTAAAGAGAAATGGATAAATGCCTCTTCTGTCAAAAGAGAAGACCCATGTTTGGTTCTTGATTATGCTGATGATGTTCTTTAACCCAATTGCCTTGAAAGTAAAGAAGTATCTAGGGGAGTGTGGCACGACTGGCAAGGCCGGGGACTGTAAATCCTTTTGATGGAGGTTCAAATCCTTCCACTCCCACCAATTAGAAATAATCGCTGGTTATTCGGTTTACGAAAGAAATAATTAATTACTAATCATGACTAAAAAAAACCAAAACTTAGTAAAAAAAAGTAAATCTGTCGAAGATTTAATTACCAAGACTTCTTCATCAGAAAAAGAAGCCCGAATTACTCACTTAGAACAGCAATTAAGTCAAACTCAGGAACAATTAACCAATTTACAAAAAAGTTTGGGTAATCATGAACCTAGTTTATTAAGAAAAGCGAGAGAAGAATTAATTACTATTCGCCAAAGATTACAAGAGTTATTTCCGAATCAGACTTCGGCTAAACCGAGTGAACTATTAGAGCAATTAATTACTCAGCGGGAAGAACTGACTGATAAATTAAATGAATTACGGATTAATAACTTGAAACAGAAAGATTACTTTCCTAAATACCAACAAGAACAAAAATTAGTTCAGCAGTTAAAACTCCAATTGGCCCAACTCCAAAAAGACCTAACCATCTCTCAACAAGACCTCAAATCTGCCCAAAGAATAATTGAATTACGAACTCTTAATTTAGATAATAGCAAAGACCAAAAAAGCCCTTTTGATTACTGAGTTTTAATTAGATTTGGCTTACTAGCACTAATAGTTTATTTATCCTTTAACAATCAAGAAAAACAATATGACAAGCATTAATCCTAAAAAAGTCGTTAGAGAATGACTCGAAGAAAAGTGAAATCGCTATGTTCAGCACCCCATCGAAAGAAAAACCGAACAAATGGAAAACCAAGTTAGACAAACCTTTGATACTTATTCCAGCAAAGCCAAAGAGAAAGTAAGTATTTACTCCGATAAAGCCAAAACTACGGCTTATAAGCCAATTGGTTATTACCGACAACAAAAGACTTTCCATCGCGGATTGTTTTGGATTGCGGTTGGTTTATTGATTGTCCTGTGAATAATCAGTGGAAGTTAAAGTAATATGAATAAGGAACAAGTAATAATAATTGCTCTGGCAGTTTTGGTAATTTATCTCTATTATCAGCAAAATCAGCCAAATATTAAGAGTAATAGCCAAGAAATTCAAAACTTAAAACAGCAAATTCAGCATTACCAATCCCTCTACCAAAAAAGAGTAGCCAAAGACTTAGAGGCTGAAACCTTAAATTCCGAGTGAGAAAGCCGTTATAATCAGTTAGAAAACTTAAACAATCAAACTAACCGCGAAAAAAATGACCTTGCTAAATATCAAGTTTTAATGGAAAAAAAGGTGGGGGACTTAGAAAAGCAATTAGTTAATTTAGCCAAACAGAAAATTAAGGGTAAGAAGGAGGCTGAGAGGTTATTATCAGAATTAGAAAGCAATTGACAACAAAACAAAACCCAATGAGAAGAAAAAATTCAAGGACTAAAAAACCAACTTACTAACCAGCAAAATCTGGTAGCCAATAAAGACCATTTTATTCAGACTTTAGAGACTAATTTAACCCAGAACAAGCAACAGTTAGAAAAAGTTAACCAAGAATTAACTGCTGAATTAGAAAAGAATCAGGAACTAACAACTAAGTGTCAAGAAATTAGCCAATTGGAACAAGCCCGTTTAACTCTGGAAGCCGAAGCTACTCGTTTACAGCAGGAAATAAAGGAACTCGCCCAAAAGAATGAGAAACTAACTGAGGACTATAACCAGACGCAAACTAATCATCATGAACAATTAAGAAAAATCAATGTCTTATTTGATGAGAATGCTGCTAGTTATGAAAGGATTGATTTTGAGGGGTTATATAGTTTATTAGAAAAAACTCGTGATAATCGACAACTTACTCATAAAGTTTTAAATCAAATTGATAATTATTTAGAAAATAATTTTTAAACCTATGCCTAACTACAATTTAGCAGAATTTAAAGCCTGACTCAATAAAAAACCCAAACACAAAGAAAATTTACAACATTGAGAAGAATTCTCTACCCTCTTATATTGAGATTTACAAATTAATTGGGAAAACCTGGATAATTATCAATCTTTTCTCCAAAAAATAAAGGCTAGTGGTGAAGGAAATATAAAAAGGTATCTAAAAGTGATAGACAAATATAAACAAGAGAGAGAGAGAGAGAGAGAGAGAGAGAGAGAGAGAGAGAGAGAGAGAGAGAGAGAGCAAACCCCGCCAACTAACATGCTAAACACCATAAAATCTTTACTCGAAAAATTAAAACAAAATCAAAATAAATGACTAATTATTAGTCAACAGCAGGCCTTAATTCGCGATGCGGTAGAAAAATTTATGTTGGATGAATCCACACTTACTTCCCAAAACAGCCACTTCCAATTTTGTGATGACAGGATACAAGAAATTAATTTACAAGAAAAACAGTTGAAAATTTTAGAAAGACAAAAAAAAGACAATCTTTCTATTGAAGACATCGACCAAAAGATTGAACAAACACAAAGAACTTTGCAAAGTCTAAAAGACGCCGTCAAAGAAGCCCGAGAGGCCTGAGAATCTCAAATCACTCAACACCAAAAAAATGTCGATCAATGTAAAGTTGTTTTAGCCAAATTACCAGCTACTACTGAACCAGTTTCTGCAGAAATTCTGGAACAGGACCAAGCATTCTTTACCAACTTGCTAACTGTTTTAGAAAATATCTTAAAGAAATTAGGAAAGCAAGAACATTTAGAGTCAGAACTTATGGAGATTAAAAAACAAAAGGAAGAATTAGAAGTAAAACTAACTGAGTCTGAAACTGATATCCAAGAATTACAAAATAAAGACTTCCAAAAAAGCCAAGACTTAGAAAACCAACAAGAAGCAATTAAACAATTACAATCAAAAATTACTCTTTTAGAATCGCAAAAAAACTCTTACCAAGAAAAGTTTAATAACTCTCTTCAATTTATTAAGGAGGTTCGGAAAAGTTTAGCCCAAGGTGAAGAATGAAAGCCTAAATTAGCCAAATAATTAACTGTTATGAAAAGAAAAAGTATGAAAAAAACAATAGTCGTTAAGACTTTAAACATTATCAAATAATTATGGGATGAGGGGATTTTGGCCTTGGCCTACTGGAAACGGCTTTTGATGTAGCCGCTGATTGAATTCCGGGAGGAGGAGCCATTAAAAAAGGTAAAAAGAAATTAAAAAAATGGTCCAAATTAGGCAAATCAGGAGCCAAATGGGCTGCCAGAGGTGTCGGAACAGTTAAAGATTACTTTGCCGGAGGAGGTGATGGTTTGGGTGATTTTGCTCTTAATGTTGATAATCAAATAAAAGACGGCTTGAATAAATGTAAAGAAGACATTGAAGCCCAAGGCAAAGCCCTTCGTGGTGAAATGCAAGGCATTAAATCCGAACTAGAAGGAGCCTTAAAACAACAAGGAGAAAAATTTGACGAAGAAATAAGAAAACAAGATGCCAAAATTGCTGCCTTATCCGGAGAACAAAAAAGACAAGCCGAAGAGACTAAAAGAGCCTTACAAAAACAAAAGCAACAGTTAGAACAAGCCATTAATGAAGTGGAAGAAAAACTGATGCAAGCCCACAATAAGTTGGAAAAGGAATTGGATGAGTTTAAAAATCAAGTCAACGAAAGATTTGAAGAATGTGAGAAAAAAATCTTAGAAAATAAACGCCGTATTGAGGAAGAAAGAATTAAACGAGAAGAAGAAATTAGAGAAGTTAAGGACAAGATAAAATTCACTAACACCAACTTAGAAAATCTTCGTAAAGAAAAAGAAGAACTAGCCGACGAACAATTAAGATTTAAAAACCAAATTGACCAAAAAACAGTTCAAACTCAACAATCCTTTGAAGACTTGGAAGCAGAATATCAATGCAAGACCAAAATACTGGAAGCCCAAATCGAAGATAATCAAGAAACTATTGAGGAATTTAATGAGCAATTAAATAATTTTCAACGAGAGCAAGCCTTCCAAAGAGAACAACAGGAAGAACTTTGAGAAAATTTACAAGAACAATCAGATATTTTACACTTCCAAAAACACCAATTAAACTTGGTATCGGAAAGAATGGAAGAAATTCACGAGGAAGTTCACGACCGCATGAATAAAATCCAAACTCAACAGGATAAATTAGCCAAAAGAACCGAAGAAACTCATAATTTAGCCCAAGAAACCGTTAAAAAAGTCGATAAACTTACTGAGGAAGTATCTAATATAAGTAAAAAGACTTGGGAATTAGAGCAGCAAATTGAGAAAAATAAGCAAGACATTCAGCAAGTCAAAGAAGAAGCCAAATGAGCCAACGAAAGACTAGACAACTTAATTAAATCTCAACAATTATTAGATTTTTCTGCTGAACAATCTGTGATTAAAAAAATTGAAAAATCCCTTGAACTCAAAGCCGAAGAGGCCAAATTGCTAGCCACTTTAAACTTATTAAAAGAAACCAAACAATTAATCCCGTTAGAGTTTAGCGAAAGAGAATGAAAAGTTGGCATCAAAGAAGGTGCCGAAAAAGACATGCCTCGTCCAGAAGGATTTCCATTAAGTCCTAACTCATCCTGAGCCAAAATTTATACTTCCGAGCAACTAAGGGAATGAGGCTGAGACACTAGACTATTAGGAGAAAATGAAACCGCTCCTTTAACTGATGAGGAAAAAAGAAAACCTGAACAAGTTGACCCCTCTTCAAACCAGAAATCAGAAGAACAAGAAGAGCAAAAGGAAAATAATAACTCTCTTTTAGAAAGATTTACAGAATTAGAAAAAGAAACTTTGACAAGATTACAATCCATTCAACAAGAAGTTAATCAGAAATTAGAAGAAGTTGAAGAACAAACTCCTCCTTCCAAACGCTCTGCTCAGTATGACAAAAAAATTGAAACAGTTCAGCAAAAAATAAACCGATTAAATGCCGAAGTATTTCAAAAGGAGCAGGAAACTAAAAAAGCCACTCAAAAAGCATTAAATAGTCCTACTATTCAGAATAAAAAGGAATTACAGCAAGCCAAAGAAGAAGAAAAGCAAGTCCAAAAACAATTAGAAAAGGCTGAATCTGAATTAGAAACTTTGGAAAGGCAGCAAGAATTTGAGGAAGAATTAGAGGAAAAAGAAGCCGAAATTGCTCAAATCGAACAGCAAGAATTAGAAAAAAAATGAGAAGAAGTTCAAAGTCTTTCTAAACAAGTGCTAGAAGAACAAGAGGAAGAAGAACCCGAAGAATTATTACCCGAAGAAAAAGAGTTGGAAGAAAAATTGGAAGAATTAACTCAACAATTAAATCAACAAGAGCAAGCCCAAGTTGCTTCTCAAAAAACAATGAGTTATTTCATGCTATACTTGATTATTTTCTTATTGGAATACATTGTTTATAAAAGAAATGGCTTGCCAGGCTTAGTAGTTCTCAATATTTTTCTCCTGTTAGTTTACCAAAGAAAAGACCAACTTTTAGAACATTACGAACACCTTTACAATTGATTACTGATTATTGCTTATGTGGTAGGGAATGTCTTGACTTATAATGCGGTTGAAAATCCAGACTATAAATGACCAGCCGTTATCGGTTATAATCTCTGCATTGCTGGTATCTATGCTTACAATTGATATCAGCAACATGCTATTAACTTAAAGATAACTAAAACTCGGCAGGCTATCAAGAAGGCCGAAACCAAACTAGCCGAAAAGAAATTAAAAATTAAGGAGCAAGAAATTCACCAACAAAAAGAAACTTTACAAAAAGCAACCGAGGTAGAAGAAAAACTAAAAGAAGCCCAGAGTAATTTAGATAATTCACCAATGACTTGGGAAAAGATAAAGACTAAATACCCAGAATTTGCCAATAAGTCTACCTTTCTAAAAGAATTTGAGAAAGTTGACCGAATACTGGTTCAGGAAAAGCAAAAAGTTAGTCATGATTTGGAAAATAAACTAAATCGATTGCCAATCCTTTTGGATGAAGAATTAAACTTATTAAGGCAATTATTCCTAACTAGGGAACAATTTACGGTTCTGGCTACCCGAGCAAACCAATATTTAAGTTTAGAAGAAAAAGAAGAAATCCAAAAAAATTTCTTTTCTTTCCCATCAGACTTAAAATTACGACTAATTAACTCTGGTTTAAATAACTTAGAAATCAATACCCTAGAAAAGAAAAAAAAGTTTGTCGAATTAAATCACCTAATCCACCAAGAAAAAAATAATTTCGGTCTAACAGTTAAAGAAAAAGAAAATATTCTTCGCTTACTAATTACTAGTTTAGATTTAAGTTCCGAACAAAGGCAAAGTTTAGAAAATATGGGAGTTAGTTTTTTTGATGCTACTCATTGAGAAGTTAGCGAAGAACAGAGAAATAATTTATTGGATTTTGGTCTAAGTAAACTAGAATTAATGGAGGAACAACAAGAAAGTTTACTCAATACCGACCAATTTAAAACTTTTTCTCTTACTGAACCACAAAAAAATATCCTCCAAAATCTATCCCCTTTAATCAAAAAGGATAAACATTCAGAAAAAAGTTTAAAAATTCTTCATTCTTTACAGTTAAAATCTTCTGCTCTTTCTTTCTTAGTAAATGAGGAAATACTACCGAACCCTAATTTAGACTTTGGCGAAACTAAAAGCCCTTATCTGCCTTTAAAAATTAAGTTTTTAGAGGGAGAGCAAAAGATATTGCGGGAACAAGCCAAAGTCAAGGAAAGAAAACTAAGAGAAGAAGAAATTCAAGAACAAAAACTTTCTATCATCCGTTCTTTACTAACTCTCTCTCAGAAAAGGGAAAAAGGGCAAAGTCTAAATATTAGTCTGCCTTTGGATAGTTGAGTAAATAGTGGAGTTTTACAGACTTATCAGAAAAATATTTTACTCACCCTTGGATTTAAAACAGTTCCCAAATATAACTACTGGCAATTACTAATTTTTGCCGTAGAGAACTTTACTGATTATTCTTGGGATGACTTCTTATCCGAAAACGTCGATTTAGCCGAAGATTATCAAAACTACTTAAATTCCTTAACTAACCAAGAAATAACCATCAACAAAACCATTTGAGAAAAATTTGTTTCTTCCAAAAGTAAAAAAGAACAAGAAATTTTTAAGGATTTAAATTTGGAAGAACTAATTAACGAAAAGATAAATCAAGCCTTAACTAGTCATCAACCGAGAGAAGTGTTTTATGATAGCCAAGAAGAATTCTCCGAGACCGAAGAAACCACCGACCCAAAACCAACTCCTTCCACTTCTCGTTATGATAACTTACTTGACAATTTAAGCAAAGAAGATGCCGAACGGCAAAGAAAAAAACAAGAATACGAAGCCAGTAAAAAGAAATTCCAAGAGCAAGAGAGATTAAGAAGAGAGCAAAAGTTAGCGGAAAAAGACCAAAAACTAAAAGAAGATGAGGAAAGAAGAAGACAAGAAAGGGAATTAGCCGAGCAGGAGGAAAAGAAACGCAAAGAAGCAGAAGAAGCAAGAGCCAAAGCCGCCCAAGAAGAACAAGAATCTTACTTAAAAAGAAAATTGGCAAATGCCGAAGAAGCCAAAAAGCGAGCCGAACAAGCCCTCGAAAATCAAAAAAAAGAGAATGAAATTCAAGAGAAGAAAAAGCGGGATGAGATTGAAAAACTAGAAAAAGAAAATCAAGAAGAACAGAAACGATTGGCTAAACAGGCTGAACTAATTGAGGAAGAGAAACAAAAAAAACTTGCGGCAATTGCCTTAGAGGATGAAGAACAGCGACAGTTAATTGAGAAAAGGGCTAACGAAGAGAAAGCCCGAATTCAGGAAGAAATGAATGAAAAAAAACGGAAGAATGATGAAGAATTGAAAAAGAAAGAAAATGCTCTCTTAAAAGAAAAGCAAGAAAAACAATTAGAGTTAGAGAAATTGCAAAAAGAAGTTGACTTACAAAACCGAATTGCTGAGGAAACTAAACGAATAGCCAATCAGCAAGTGCAAATATTAAAAAACAATCGGGATAGAGAAAGCCAGTTAAGAACTTATCGAGAAAACTTATGAAACGAAGTAAAAGACTATTATTGAGCCGACAATGAAGCAAAAGACGGAACTAGAAATCCTCAAATAACTAGTGGAGGTTATTTAAGAAACTGGTTAAATTCTCATCCTTACATGAAATTTAATCTAGTATTTGGCGACCAATACAGTATTAACTGAACCAATAACAAATGAAGAATAGCCATGAAAGCCTTTTATGGAGTGGCTGGCAATTCTTTTGTTGACCAGTATGAATTCAAAAGATTATTAGACCAAAAAGTTCAGAGTTTAGACTTCACAGATAGTATTAATGTTTAATTACTCTGATAAGTTAGGCTCTTTTCAAATGAATTTACTAATTATCCAAGAAGTAAGATAGTAAAAAATAGTCCAAAAGATAACTAAACTTAGGAATCAAATGACTAGAAGAATACCAGAATATAATCGCATGGCTTTGGCAAAAGCCTTTAAATCTCCTCTTAAAAAGTCCTTAGTAGTTGCATCCTGAACTTTTTGGGAAAGCCAGTTTAAAGGTTTAGCCGCAATCCCTTTTTTAACTTTGTTATCAATGGCTTCTACTTTGGGTCAATTTTCTTCTAATTTTTCTTCACTAACAAAAATTCCTTTACCGAGAATTCAAGTGTCAGTAATATTTACTCGCAAAATGGCTCAGACAATTAAATAGGCAAATAAAAGTCCAAGTATTCAGGAGATAAGAGAAATTCTGCTTTCTCTTTTTTCTTTAATTTTTTCTAATTTCGTCATATTTTTAGGTTAATACCTAATAAATAAATTGCAATACAAAATACTTATTAGACAAGAGGAGAATTACCTCCTCTTTTTCTTACTTTCAAACACTATTCCCAAGATTATTAACAGAACTAAAACCACTATTCCACCAATTATTCAACCTTTATATTTTTCTCAAAAGTTAGAAACTTGCTCTTTGGTTTCTTTATTAGAGTGCTTATTTTGGCAAGTAGTGCCACAGAATTTTTTACCATCTTTTTCCACTAATATATCCAACTTTTTACCACATTCGGCACATTTAAAACCGTAGTAATCATACATACAACTTTTAGAGCAAAATTTTTTGTCATCATTTTTATCAGGACTGTAATGATATTGTCCCGTTATGGGTTTTAAGCATTTATCGCAGAGGGTCATATTATTTAGGTGGGATTTGGATTTGAGCCATTTTTTTCTCAAAATTTATTCTTTCTCTTTCCAGTTTGCCCCTGAGTTCATTAGCTTCTCTTTTTGTTTCTTCATATGCCAATTCAAGCTTTTCCTGCTCTTCTTTTATTACAGGAGCTTCACTTTCTAATTGATCAAAAAATAATTCTACCTTTCGCCTTATTAATGTAGACAAGAGAGTTTTCACATTACTTTGACCTTCTTCTCCCAAACTTTCTATATTGACTTCTTCATTTTCAGAAGGTTCAGTAGAATCGTCATAAGAAATTGATCCTCTTTTTCATTCTTTTAGTTTTTCTGAAAAAGGTTTAAGGATGTCTTTTAAGTTTTCAAAAACACCGCTTGTTTGTTCTTCGTCAAGCTGCTCCCTGAATCTAAAATCACAATCCTTGATCCTGTTTACTAAGTCTTTTTTCAAGAGTAGCAACCTTTTCTCTTTTTCTTCTTTAACCTTACTTACAATTTTTTCTTCGTATATCTTTTGTGTAATAAGTTTGATGATTTCAGAACCGACTTCGGTTGTATCGCCAACTAGGCGTATCACAAGTCCAATTGGTTTTCCATAGATACCTTTAAGAAAGATTAAAATAGAGTCATTAGAATTTTCCATCCAGTCTTTTCCTGCCTGAGAAATGTTTTTGCCAACTTCTGCTGAAAGTTCACAACTTTCAACACGCTCAATCAGTGTTTTTACATAATTAAATACTTCTTTTTTTAGTTCTTCCCTTCATCGGATAAAAATATTCATCTTTTCTATTCATTCTCCAATATCTTTACACTTTTCTTCTAATTCCATCAATTCTTTTTCATTTATTCACCTGATTCTTTCATTCAAATCTCCTGATTTGGGTTTACAACTTTCTTCGTTTTGATATGATTGTAAGTGGTTTAGCAATATTTTTCTAGAAATTTTGCGGGTTTTTTTGTTATTATTATTTTCTCTTTCTCCCCTTTTTCCCTTAATATTTATTTGTGGATTATCGACATGTACAACTCTTTTATTGCATAACTCAATCATTTCAGTGATAGCTTCGTTGCTTTCATTAAGCAAGGAATTAATATCATTATCGCAATCTTCTTCTTCCTCAAAATTAGGAAAATTGGTGCGAACCACTGAAATACGGCTAACTATATTTTCATCAAAAAAGATTTCCCGTAAGTATTTAAAAGCATTCAAGTCCTTATTAGAAAGCCTTCCTCTAACCACAAATAAAACATAATCTATTCCGCATTTAGTATATCTATCCATTTCCTTAAAGACAGGAGGAATTTTAGTAACTTCTAACATTGTGTCTCCAAATCCTACTGTGTCAATTATTCTATATGTTTTTCCATCAATTTCTGTTCTTCCGACTCTAAAATTTTTTGTTGCACTTATAGTTCTGTCGCTTTCTTTAAATACTTCTTCAAAAACATCGTTTTTATTTACTAGCACATTCGCTAAGGTAGATTTTCCGCTACCACTACTGCCAATGAGAAGAATATTTTTAACAACCTCGTCATCCTGAGTTTTTACACTGTCAGCGGTTTCATTGTTTATTATCTCTTCTATTTCTTCTAATTTTATAATATCTTCTTGATTTTGATTATTTATTATTATTTTTTTGTATTAGTATTATTTTCCATGTTATTTACTTTTCTTTTATTTATTATTCTCAGCAAACCAAGATTAACCTGAATCCGCTGAGTTCAGAAAAGCAAGTAAATAATTAGGGCAAAAAACACCTAAATGTAGCCTAAAAAAAGCCAGAAACACTCCCCCTAGTATTTTTTGATTACTAGGCTTAGTTAGATATAGATAGAAATTGCTCTCTCTCTCTCTCTCTCTGCTTTCAGTTAGGGAGTGATTTCATGTCATATATATTATTATTTTACACCTCCATATAGATACTGTATTTAGATTTTGCATAAAATTATAATATAGATAAAAAGTGAAAAGTAGTCAAGGTTTAAACTCCTTGATTATTAAGGGCTTTTGAAAAAAAACTTCTGTTAATTTTTATTTTACCAGCACTAATTACCTTCCACTGACACTATTTTTACTTCGGTATACTGGGCGCGAAACCCTCATTTTCTCTTAGTCCTTTTTTTAGGCTTATATTTCATTCCCACTATTTTTTTTTTAAGACCATGCTTAATTATTTCCCCGGCCAACTTAATATTTGATAAATAAGGCTGACCGAACTCTTCATCTTTGCTTAATACCTTGTCAAAAATTATTTTATCGCCGCTTTTAGCATTTTTCTGGTAATCGATATGAAAAGTTTGGCCCTTTTTAGTTGGGAAATATTGATATTGCTTACCTTTAATTTCAAAAATAATACTCATAATAATAAATATTTTAATAAACTATTCCACTTAATCCTCACGGATTTGAAGATGGGAGTTTCCTAGTTTAACTAAATTTATAGCCATTTGGGAATTCCTAACTATAAGGCTCAGGTAATTTTATTAAATTTTTCGTCGTCTTCACTAATAGGATATCAAACTCCCTCCTGCCAATGGTCCTTATCTCTAACTGAACATACTAATCAGTAATGGACTCTTTCGACCACTTCATTTACATCCTTGCTGAAACTTCAGTATAAGTGTAATACTCCGTATTTTTTTCTTTTGTGAACTCAATTTGAGTGAAAAGCAAAAAGAAACTAAACTAAATTTATAAAATTAATATTATATAATACTTATTAGTAATAAAGTATCTATATAGATGATAAAGAAAGTTAGAGTAAAAGTTGAAATCATAGGTTCTTGTTTTTCTCACTTTTTATCCAGAAGGTAATCCCTTTGAATTCTGGTGCCGGGAGGAGGTAGGAACCAGTCAAAAACATAATAAAAACACTATGGTAAACTGAAAAGATATTAACCCCAATTTTACTGAGGAATTAACTCGAAATTGACAAAATCAGGGATTTGATTTTGAACAAACCAAAAAATGGATTGAAATGGGCTTTAGCCCTAATGACTATGAGGTTGCAGCCTTTATTAGAGACAACCTCGGGTATAACGCCGAAAGTTCCCTAAGTAGCGAAGAAATAGAAAACTTAAGATCAATTTATCAAAGCGATTTCACCAATCAATCAATTTTGTTGCTAAACGAAAGTTTGATTGAACAAGAGATGATTAGACAGTCAATTATTTCTCGAGAGAATGATGAGTTGTTACTCCAAGAGGCTTTATGAGCCTCTCAACAAGAAGAAGAAGTCATAAGAGAAAAGAAAAATGATAGTGATATGGGTTGACTAACTGATGATAACGTTGAATATATTCTTAAAAATGATGAAGCAATTCGAGAAGCAAAAGAGGTTCAAATAAGAACTGATATTGCTAATGTTTATTTACAGGTGGAAAAAGTTAAAAGAGGAGAACTGGTTGATAATGGGTTCTGGAATTCGCTTGATATTAGTAAAAAATACATAATTTTGCCTTTGCGAATACGAGGAAATCATTGAAGTTTGTTGTTTTTTGTTAATAGTAAAAGCACAAATAAGGTCCTATGGATTCGTTACATTTCTTCTCACCCTTCACCGGACGAAGTTTCGGAGGAAGTTAAAGAAGTGGGAGGATTTTTGAAGCAGGCATTAAAGAGATACGGTAATAATATTTTTGACAGCAGCAGTCTTAAAAAAATTGTCTTGTGAGATACTCCTAAACAAAGAAATACTTGAGATTGTGGTGTCTATTTAATTAAGTTCATAAAGTTTCTTAGTAGTAATGAATATCATAAGTTGAAAGATTTAACAATTACTGACCAAGCAATAAAAGAATTTCGGGAAGAATGAAAAAAAAGAATAGGAGAAAGAAAATGATGCAAATGGGATGTAGCAGTTGCTCCCGATAGAGTCATTAAAGAAGTTAATGCTATTACAAGAAGCCAGCCATCAAAAGAAAGAATGATAAACAAAGAAGCTGACGACAATTCCTCCCCATTATGAAAAGAAGAAATGGAAGATAAGATAGCAAAGTTAAAAACAGGTTTACAAGAGTTGGCGGTTACTTATTCTTCTCTCTTTAATGAGTTAAAAAAAACCCAAGAGAAAAATGATCAATTGGAGAAGAAACAAGAATTATTACAAGAGGAAGTCTTTCAATTGAGGGCAAATGGTTTAACTAGCGAGGTTCAAAAAGCAGAAAAAAAATTAAATAAAATTGTTACTAATATAAAAAATCGATTGGAAGAGGAAGAGTTATTAGAAGAGGTACTTGAGGCTCAAAAAGAATTCACTCTTACCAACAGTTCTTTCGTGGCCAAACAGTTAGAGAAATACAAAAAGAAACTAATAAAAAATGGAATCCACGAGGAAGAAGTTAAAAAAGTGTGCGAAATGAAAGATGAATTAATTAAATTAGAAAAAAAAATTGAACAACAACAGTTAGAAGCAAGAATTGAAATTAATAAATAAATAAAAATGAAAATAAATGCAATCTATGGTAATAGCACAAGAATGACTAGAACAAACATATCCTAACAAAGATCAAGTAAAAATTATTGAATTCACTGACGAAGCAGAAGGAGAATTAACTATTGCTAATTTTCACCAACTAGAAGAGATAAAAAAGAAAACCGAAGGAGAGAAAAACATCACTAAATTAACTATTACTGACTGTCCTCTCTTGCGCAGAGTAAATTGCTACTTTTGTCGAAAAATCAAGGAATTAGTAATTATAAATTGTCCACAAATAAGTGAAATAAATTGTGATACTAATCAAATTGAAAGTTTGGAATTAAGCGAGTTGGAAAATTTAACCCTCCTCAACTGCTCCAATAATCGTTTAACTCATTTGAAGGTTCACAATAATCGCCAATTAAGTCATTTGTCTTGCGAAAAAAACAAATTGCAAGAAATAGATTTAAGCAATAACCCAGCGATAATTTTTTTGGACATGAATGATAACCCGCTTAGCCATAGCCCTTATTTTTTTTCTAAAAAACGAAAAAATAAAATGAAAGATTTACAAGACAGACTAAATTGAGGCGAGCAGATTTTAGCCCAAACCCTTGAAGAAAACGAGAAAAAAATAGCCAGTTTGGAGACTAGATTAGCAGACCTCAAATTCTCCTTAACCGAAGAGCAAGAGGTCCTCAGAAAAGAGCAGAAAAAAAATCAAGAACTTCGTCAAGATATCTCTGCCTTTCAAGAAATAATTTGTTTGGATGACAAAGAAAAAACTAGGCTTGCTCGACAAATAGAAAAACTGGTTGAGGAAAACCAAGAATTTAGAAAGCGGCTATTTAAACGGGAGATTCAAAACCAAGAAAAAGAGTTAGAAAAGTTCGTTAATGCTATTAAAAGTAAGTTAAGCGGAGATGACAAAGAGGAATTAGAAAGTTTAATTGAATCACAAGTTGAATTTATATGAAGTGAAAATTCTTATGCCCAGAAACAATTGGAAAAAAGTCGAAAAAGATTATTAAAGAGTAAAAAAGTAAACGAAAAAGAAATAGAAAAGGTTCTCCAATTGCAAATTGAAATAATTAACTTACGAAAAGAAGCAGAAGTAGGAGCAGAAAATTTGATAGAAGTCTCTCCAAAGTAGTTAAAATTATAATTAAGAATAAATTAGAAGCAAAAATGGAAATATTGAGAAAGTAAAATATCATGGCAGGAGTAGAAAAAATTAAAATAAAAAAAGTAGAAGAGGATATTGCTAACAACCGAACTTTAATAGAACTACTTGAACCAATTGCGGTTAAAATTGACGGTAAAATTGAAACAATAAGCAAAATAAGCATCAGAGGTGGGACAATTAATAAAGAAGGTGCTGAGTATAAGGAGGGAAATGAGATATATTTTCAAAGTCCAATCGCTGATGGTCAAATTGAACTTCGCACGCTACTACTTGACCAAACTAAGAAAATGGTCATTAAAAATAAAGATAGAACAATTACTTTAGAAGTTAGAGAAACTGCCGAAGGAAAAGTTATTGATTGAATAAATGATGATTTCAATATAAGTATTGACTATGCAGGTCACATTGTCAATCCTGATGAATACTATGGGACTATTAATAAGCAAAATGTTAATTTTGGAATTATTTTTCAAAAAATCAAAAATTATGTGCAAGAGCACCCTAATCAATTTGCTTTATCCGAAAAGACTATCCATGCCAAAATGCCCAGGGGGGTACCGAGGCTGTGGTGAAATTCTACAAATCCCGAGAAAGATCAATTGCTAAGCATTGCGTATGAAACTGGTGATGGAGCAGCCGGTGCTATGAGGCAAATGGTAGTAACAAGAAGTGATGGAAGTAAACGTTGTCTCCATCCTCATAGTTTTTCCAAAGAGCAGTATGAAGAGTTAAAAAACTTATTTCCAGACAATCGAACCTGTAAAGTTTCTGGATGTTATAATAACTACTGTCGGTTTGGTGGCAATGAAGCCGAAGATACCAGAGTAGAAAATGGACTTTGTGGTTATCACCGAGCAAAACAGGAGGGACGTCTGGACGAGCATACCCAAGATAACGAAGAAAATGAGCAAAGTAACCACACTGGGTCCGATGACATAAGAGAAACTATAAACCAGGCACGCAATACTTACGAAAATAGTAGCAATTTAGCCGAGATAAATCAAGCCATAACAGCTTTAGAAGATGTTAAAACAAATAATAATGAGGTCTTTAATAATTGGTTAGGAGAAGAAGTGTTAGAGGGATTAAAAAACAAAAAATTAGCCTTGGAACTAAACCAAGGAAATGAAAATTCTGGAGCCGGAAATAATAACGGAGAAAATTCTGATCCCGCTACCCCTACTAATAATACCAATTCTGCTCTCCAAACCGCAAAAAACAACGCTATTCGAGAAATTACGAACGCTTTAGTTAATCAAGAACCAAAATTGACTACTAAACATGACTTATCAGAAATTAATCAGGATTGAAAGAAAAAAATTAATTCTGCTGACAACGAAAACGACATCATTAGTATAAAGGACCGAGTAATGGCTGATATTGTGGCCAAAAGAAAGGCTAAAAAAGAAGCAGAAAATATTGTTAATAATCTGGAAACCGAAAGTAAAAATGCCGAGCAATTAAAAAAACAATTGGAAGAAGTGGAGAAATCCAAAGGTCAGCAAAGTTATGAAGATAACCAATCAGGGATAGACAATTTAAAAGATGAGTTATCCAAAAAGGTTAGCCAAGAAGAATACTGTCAAATCATAGTTAATACTATTGAAAAAAATATGGCTAAATATGACGTTAAGTCGAATGAACTAACCCCCGAAGTAAGAAAGGAACTAGAAAGGTTAAAAAGTGGAGAAATTAAGGACAAGAATCAAATTAATGAGATAGAAAAAAAAGTAGCGAAAAATGTGGGAGAAAAAGGATCGAAGAAAAAATTAAATCTGATTTTAATTGAGAGTATGGAGGCTTTAAATTCAGGCAAAAAGGACAAAATTAAAAAAGCAAAAGATAAATTAAACAACTTTTTATTTACCACCGACATTTACGAAAAGGCTCTTCTTTCTCAAAAAGAGAATGATATTAAACAAGCACTAAAAAAACTTGAAAATTATTCTGCCCAAAAGCAAACTAACTCTGACAAGTTTCCTTGAAAAATAGTCATTCCAGTGAGTCTTTTCTTGGTAGCATTCCTAGGAATAATAATCTATTGAAAAAGAAAGAAAAGGTCAAAGATAATCAAAAAATAAGGCCCTCTCTTTATTTACTTTTTTTTATTACTTAAATGTTAAACTAGTTATCATTAACAGTCTTCTTTTTAGCGAACTGATAAGTAAGTTAGATGAGTATTACTCAAAATCAAAATAAGTAGACAACATTTCCAAATTTTTGAAGGCTACCTACTTGACTTTTTAAGGACAATTTCTCTTTTTTTAGATTGCTAATTTGTGTTTAACTTAATTACAACAATTCCTTATTTTATTTAATGGTCATAACTCACCAAGTCTGAATTCTCCACAAAAATTACTTAATGGACTAGCAGAATTAAAGCAAATCTCTAAATCAGACCTAAAAGCGTTTCTTCAAGAAGATCACACTTCCTTTAGTGTTCTCTCGGTCTCCACTAAACACATTGAATCCACTAACCGCATTAGCGTTACCTTATCCAAAAACAGTGCCCGTTCTTTTTACTTGGGTAAAGACTTAAAAAAGTCTGCTGCTGCCTTATCTAACCCAACTAAGCTACCCGATGACTGCTTAAAAGATGCCCAAAACTGCACTTACTTCCAATTCTTCAGTAGTAAAGAAAAGAAACTCTACACCCGCTTTAAAGACAACTTTGAAGCTAATTTCCTTTGCTCCTGCTCACCCCAAAAATGTCCTCATCAACATTTATTCTTAACGGGTACTTACAATACCAGTTTAGCCAACCATTATGCCTGAACTACTAATTGAAATCCTCAAGACCCTTGTTGAGACACTTTTCAAAAACCCTGACTCAAAGAATGAGCCACTAAATTTTCCTAGCAGTTTCCCATAGCGTCCCTCTGAGGAATTAATTTTCAAAATTGACCTCATATAATATAGTTATATATAATTGTTTTTAAGATAATGGAGCAGAGGATAGTTAATTTTTTACCTTTACATCACTGAGAGAGGAGAATACTCACCTTTTATTTTTACCACTTTTCTCTAATAACTATACAAAACCTATATTATATGACAACCCACATCAACCCCCCCCTCCAAGTCACTTGCTCCAACTGCAACTCTCAATTCCTAATCAATTACAGCCAATTCCACAAACAATATTACCAAAAAAACAATCTCGACTACTGAACCGAAAAAACAGATGACCAAGACAAACACATTTGTAGTGATTGTTTACGCCACCTCTACTACCATGAGAAGTGAAAATACCTCGAACTAATCACCAACCCCAAGAAAAGACAACAACTTCGCATTTACCTCTCTAAAAAAGTCATCTAATCTTTACTCTATATCCATTATATAAATATCTAGAGGGATATTCTTTTCTTTTTCTCTCTCTAATAATTATATAATCTTTATAGATACATACTAACCATAAGGGATAAGGGGCTATGACAGAATTAAATACATATAATCATTATATAAGTGTTAATAGTGAACAATGATTAACGCCCCCAAGAATAGCCTACTTACGCAAAGAAAGGTGAACTATTAAGAAAATAGCCAACTTTGCTAATAAAAGTGAAAGAACCATTTATCGCTGAAATAAACCAAAACCAACTGATAAAGAAGATAAACCAAAAAGAGGTCGTAAACTTAAGATTACTGGAGATATACTAAAACTTTTACTCGATTATGATGAAAATAATAACACTGCTACTTTCAGAGAAATATCAGATTATCTTTACCAAAAGACAGGTCAAAAATTTAGTCAAGCAACTATCTTTAGAGTATTAGAGAAACATGGTATTACTCGAAAGAAGGCTGAAAAGCAATATTCAGAACAAGATGAAGAAAAAGTTAGGAGATTTATTGATGAGAATCATTGATTACTTTCTTTATCTTCTTTTTCTGCTGTGGATGAATGTGGTTTTAATCTAGGTGCAGTTCCTTTTTATGCTCGAGCACCTAAAGGAAAAAGAGCAGTAGTTAAAAGACCTGGTAAAAGAGGAAGTAATTATACTCTAACCCTGTGTGTTAGGAATATAAATAAGCAAGCAGTAATTAGTTGAAAATTGATTAAAGGTGGTTCTAAGACTAAGGATTTTCATAGGTTCTTATCTAGAATTAAATTTACCACTCATTTATTATTAGATAACGCTAGAATTCATCATGCTACCGATTCATGTAGGAAAGTTAAATTGTCTACTATTGCTGAGTTAGCCAGGAAAAAGAATATTGAACTTGTTTACTTACCAGGTTATTCTCCTAAACTTAACCCAGTAGAGAAGTGTTTTAGTGTCATAAAGAACTATTATCGCCAACAAAGACCTAGAACTGAGAGAAAGTTAAAGCAAGTTATTAAAGAAGCGATAGTGAAATTACAGCAACAAGATTTAACTAAAACTTTTAGGAGTTGTTTTAGTTTATAAAATTCTTGTATACTGACACCAATTTTGAAAAATGCTATATTTTTGTCTTGTCATTCCGCTTGATAGATTTTACCAAAGCCTCCTTGGGCTAGGTATTGAATATTAGTTAGTTGCTGATAAGGTATTTTTCTAGGTTGGATTCTTGGATAAAAGAGTTGATTTTTGCTTCGCTTTGCTTAGAAGCAAGGAAGATGTCATAATCTTTTTTTAGTTCTGATAAACTATATTCTTTGGCTTGTTGAGGAGTAAGATTTTTTTCATTTTTTAGGTAGTTGGTAAATTTGTTGTATTCGTTAAGGGTTTTTAAACCGACATCTTTTCATGGTTGGGCTTGTTCAGCAGTAAAATTATTGTCTTTTCATTTTTTTGCTTCTGAGTAATCATATATTTTGAAACCACTTTCTATCCATTTCTTAGTTTGTTCTTTACTAAATCCTGCTTCTAATCAGGCTTTTTTATATCAAGGAGCAAAATCTTTATGAATATCTTTTCACATTTCTTGGTTTCATTGTTCTTCCACTTGGGCTAATTGACAGTTAGGTCTTAGTTTGGTGTCATAATAAAATGTTAGCAAACTATCAGGTAAATATTCTCAACCACTAGTTAGGTCAGTATTTTTAATATCTAATCTCTCTAACTTATTCAAATCTTTCAAAGGTTCACAACTGCCAACAAAATTATTATAAATATTTTGATTGATTTTGTTTTTATTATTATTACCAATATATAAAAATCTTAAATTCCTCATTTGACTAAAAATAGTTAGGTCAGAAGTGGGGAGATTGTTGTTGCTTATGTCTAAACTAGTTATTTTTTCTGGATTAGTGGGATAAATTATTTGGGTGAGGTAATTATTAGAACAATCAAGCCACCCTAACTGTTCGCAATTACTCAAATTAAGAGTAGTGAGTTGGTTATAAAAGCAATCAATTTCCTTTAATTTCAAACAATTATTTAAATTGAGATTAGTGAGGCAATTATTTTGGCAATTTAATTCCTCTAAATTTGGAAAATCAGCTAAGTCTAAGTTTCCTTCTAAGCCTTTTTCATTTATATTTAACTTTTCTACTTCAACTCTTTCTTGTTCAGTCGGATAGTTTTGATTGAAATAAGTTTGAGCAGGTTGGCAGGGGATAATTTTTGTTTTATGTTTTCCACCATACCAAGAACCTTCTTTTATTTTGAATTTACTGCTATCGACTGAGGTAGAGATAAATATATATTCTAATCTTTTATACTCCGAACAATCTAACACTCCCTCCAATTGTTGGTTGAGGTAGATATTTTCTGTTTCCTTATCAGGATAATTTTGTTCTAGTCAGTCTTGGGCTTTCATAATAGTAATTTTATCTTTTTTACTAAATAACATCTTTACCTTTATTAATAAATAATAACATTTGTTCTCAGGCTTGGGCTGAATTGAATTTTAATAAATCTCTTCGGTATTTGGATAATAGTTCTTCTCGGAACTTTTCTTTGTCTTGTCTTCGGTCAACCTTTCATTCAATAAAATCATTACCTGTTAAGTGTTCATTACAAATACCACTTTATGCTAAATTATTGACAAGTTTTTAATCCCATTTTAACTTTCTTTATTCTTGTCCCTCATCAGCAAGTAAATAATAACTATTCCCAAGGCTAAAACAACTCCTCCCCCAATTATCCAAGGTCAGTAATTAGTCGGTTTTTTTGGGTCTCCACTACTACTAATCTCTTTTTCTAACTCCGCTAACTTCTGCTTCTTGTCTTGTAATTCTTGCTCCTCTTGGGGTGTTCGGTTAACAATGGCTTCTAATACCTCAATTCGCTTCCGTAGTTCCTCAATTTTGCTCTCTCTCTCTCTCTCTCTCTCTCTCTGTTGTCATCATTACCATTAACATCTGGCGAACCATCAACATAAATCTCCTTTCTAACATCTTTATACTCTGGTCCTCAATTTTCCATTCTCTTTATATCCTCCTCGGTTTTGTGAGAAGTTTTATGACATTTACCTTTGTCCTTTCCGTGAAAATGATAAAAATGGTCTAAATTATGTCCTCACTTAAATTGAACTTCACACCAAGGGCAAATGCTTATACACCTATCATCTTTGTCAAGCCCCTTGCCTCATTTATAAAGTCTCTCCTCATTCTCTCCAAAAATACAATCTTGATTAACTCCTCATTTGCCTTCACAAACCTTTTGAACCTCTTTTTTACAGTCAGAACATCAATATTTATCCTTATACTTATCAAAATTGTCGTAAATGGAATAGAAAATATCTCCTTTTTCTCATTCTACCTCCTTTTGACAATTGATACAATTTTCTTTCATATTTATAATTTTACATCAGAAAACTAAAACTTATATTTAAACTTACTTTCAAAATATAATTCAAATATTAGTTTTAAACATTGGTTACTAATTTATCAAAATAAATTGACCAAACATGAAAACAAAGACTAAATCTAAAAAAGCAAAAACATCTAAAATTAAAAATATTAACCCAACACTTACAAACCAAGAACTCAAGCCAATAGATGAACATGGGTATCCTATAAAAAGGAGCGAAAGGTGCTTTTTTTGTAAGAAATTCTTCGTTTTAACTTTCTCATTTTCTCAACAAAACTACTCTCGCAAGCATTTCATAAATTTTTGAACTGAAAAGGATGAAGATATAGGAAGACTTACCTGTTCGCCATGTGCTAGGTCACTCTATCTCAATTTAGAGAGTAGAAAAAAATTAAGTCTGAAAAAAAAGAGACACTTGTCTTCGTATATTGCTCAAAATATTATTTAAATGATTAAATAAACCAAAGAGTGAGGATAATAAATTTGATTTTTTTTCTATATTAAACTAGTAAAACTATAATATTATGGTTTACATAAGTTCATTTATCAATGCTAGAATAGTTTGAGATAACAACTTGCCCTTGCTAGAATTTGATGGAGAATGTTTTCATCACACAAGAATAGAAGACCGAAGGAATGGAATTAAAAAATATTTTTTTGATAATGTAGATAAGAGACATGGTTATAGATATGATTTTTGGTTTGACTACGATGAAATTAATAAAAGAGTAGGAGATTTATATTGAACTGATAAGATGAATAATCCATTAGTTATCAATGGTCATAATCTAATATGGGCTTTTGGAAGATACTGGGGTAAAGAATTTTGAGGAAAATAAGGAACACTAACCATAATAAAATCAAGAAAAATCAGCAAAATAACATGGTAAATACAATTAACACATTAATCGAAAGAAATAAAGAATTATTAAACAAAATTAAAGAATTAGAAAATAATAAAAATACTGAAATAAGCCGAGAAGCTCAATTAAAGATAATAGAAAAAATAGAAAAGTGAAAAAAAGAAAATCACGAAACAGGAGATAGATTAAAAAAATACGAAAGTAATACTTATCCTGCTCATATTACTGATAATACCACTGATGAATGACCGCTTTGAAGACAATTAGCAGGTCATGTTAATTTTGAATTACTTATGGTTCAATATTTACATAAAAAAGAAAATCCGTTAGATGAACTTTTAGAAATGATGCTTAATTCCATTACTAGAAATGTAGTAAATTGTTACAGTTTAGAAGGAGTAAAAGAAAAGACAAATAAGGAATATTGAGAACTAAGAGAAGAGTTGGGAAAAGAAAAAGAAAGTCTAAGGAAAGAAAAAGTGATTGTTACTGAATTGTTAAGAGAAATCACAGATTATAACGCAAAAATCGAGAACTTAAATCGAGAAAATAATGACTTAAAAGAGAAGCAAGAAGAATTAGAGGAACAAGTAGAAGAGTTAGAAGAAAGAGTAAAAATAGAGCAGGAAGAATCCATGAAAGCACTTAACAAATCCGATGAATGGCACAAGCGAAAGGTTTTTGAATTAGGCATGAAAGAATATTCTCGAATAACCGAATTGCGATTGAAAATCCAAGAATTAGAAAATACTCTAGAAGTTAAGAATGAAAAAATAACTAAACTATCCAAACCAGCCAAACTTCAAAAAGTTCGAAAGTCAGTAAAAGTAATAAAAGAAAAAGTTCACACAAAAGTTCATAAAGTTATGGAAAAAGCTCAAGAAAAGCTTTGTGCTTACGTTCTACAAAGTAATATCTTACAAAAGAATAAGTAATCATGAGATTAGAATATAGAGTTTTGGAAGTAGCGAAAGGTAGTAGAGAAAGTTGTGACCATTGTTTGTTAGATTTTCATGCTAGTAGTTTCACTTTTATTCCTGCTACTCATGAAATAGTGGCACATGATAAGAAAGGAGACTGCGTTGATATTTCATTCATTTGTGCTAATTGTAAGAAAGATTTAGAGAATGAAATTCTTCCTTACTGTGAAGAGTGTGGTCGGCTAAAGAAACATAGAGAGGCTTGCTTTTGCAATCATTTAAAAGATAAAAAACTTAACCAACCAGTTTCTGAAGATTCTTTAATTGCTCAGTCTTTTAGTTATCGTTTAGAAAATAAAACTAGAGAACTAGAGAAAGAACTATCCACCACTAAAGAAGAACTAAAAATTGAAAGAGAAGAAGTAGTCAAATTCCAAGAAAAGTCTAAGGAATGAAGTAGAAAACAGAAACAGGATTTAATTGAGGAAAATAAAAGACTGAAAGAGGAAAACGGAAGGTTAAAAGCCCAGTTAGAGCAACAAAATCAGTCATCTTCCCAAATAGAAGTCAAAGAACCTAAAAAATGACCTTGGAAACTAAAGAAATAAACAAAACAAATTCCTACTGCTCCAATAAAAATTGTCGTTTCCCTGCTCCCCACATAATCAACCAGTTAAAAAAAGCCTCCAAACTAACTTGGAGGCAATTTGCTGATAAATTTGAAACTAGTGAAAGAACCATCAGAAGACATGCCCGACAATCAGAAAAAGAAAAACAGAAAATAAAACAAAAACGAGGTCGTAAAAGAAAAATAGACGGCATCTTACTTGACTGACTACGTGAGTGTGTCATTGCATTTAATAAAATTAAGGTTACTAACCAAAGGTATTTAGCGGAAATATTTAATTGTAGCCAATCTACTATCTGCACCTCTCTAAAGAGAGCAAGAGTGGTTTATAAAGGGTTTACCTACCAATCTATTGAACAGTTGCGATTGAAAAACAGAGCCAAGATTAATTTCTTCATCAATATAACCCTCCCTTATCTACTGGCAATTGGTGCTAATATCTTTTTCTTAGATGAAACTGGTTTTCGTTGCAATATGACTTTAAAAAGAGGTTATGGTTGAAAAGGTTTGCCGATAGTTAAGCAAAAACCTGGTAAAAGGGGTAAAAATCAAACTCTAATGTTCCTAGCTCAAATCAGTGCTGAGGTGGAAAAATTAATTCATTGGAGACTAATCGAAGGAGGAATGAAAACCAAAGATTTCCATCAGTTCCTAACCGACTTCAATCCTCCTAACAATGGTAAGAAAAATGTTTTGATAATGGATAATCTACGAGTTCATAAAGCTACTGACTCTTGTAAAAGGTTAAAATTATCAACCATTGCGGAGTTATTAGCCAGTAAAGGTATTGAAGTCATTTTCTTACCTTCCTATACTCCTGAATTGAATCCAATCGAGAAAAAGAATGGAATTCTTAAAAAAGATGTAAGAAGGGAGGAACCAAGAACTAAGGAAAGATTACTTTCGGTTATTGAAGATAGGGTCAAGTTCTTTCAAAAAGAAGATTTAACTACCTATTTAGATGATTCAGTAAAAGAATGCTTAATGAAACTTAATGCTACTTCTTCAACTGAGAATGACAAGTATTTTTGGAATACAAAGAGGTGGAATAGTATGTGTCAAGCTTCAAGGCATTTGTCAATTATCACTAGAACCTTTATGTTGAAAAGGGTGCGGGTTTTTTAAAATTACCTTATATGAAAAGACTCTTTCAAATAATAGGAACAAATGCTAGCGGTAATTATATTACTTTCTACCTAAACACTAACCTAAAATACACTGATAAAAATATTAATTGCATTACTGTCTTCAACAAATCTCCTTTCAACAGATACAAAGTAGGCGATGATATTATCATAGATACTGGAGCAGTAGTCAGCCACCCCCAAAGTGCCATCTTTGGTGAAGGTGCAATTAGTGAACCTACACTTTATCCTACTGAATAATTAGTAAAAGCGGAAATTATTTATTGATAAGGGTAAGGTAGTTATTTAGCAAAAAACTATAAAACTATTATATTAAAAGTGATTACAATAAAGCGGTCAATTTATTTCAATTTGTTAGTAAAATTATACTATATTATGGCTATGAATAAAAAAGAAAAAGATAAGTTAGGAGAAGTCCATGAAGTAAAGGATGTG